GTCGGGCTGACCCCTGTGCCTTGCTGCAGGGCGGCCCCGGCTCCCTGCGCTCGGCCATGGCCCCCCCGCCTCCGTGCAGGCTCCCGAGGTCGCTGCCGCCGTGGCTGCTGCTGCTGCTGTTGAGTGTGGCGCTGCTGGGCTCCCAGGCCCGAGCCGAGCCCGCCGCTGGGAGCGCAGTCCCCGCGCAAAGTACGTGCGTCGCGGAGGGTCCCCGCGGGGCCGTGACTCCACCCGGGTGTGCGGGAGCGCCGTGCCTCCCCATTGTTCCCGGCGCCCCTGCCGCGGTCCGGCGCTCGGGCCACCCCTTGGGTGGGGGGCGCACGGGTGGGACCGGGCTAGGGTCACGTTCTCGCCGCCCTGATGCGCATCTCCGTAGGCCGCCCGTGCGTGGACTGCCACGCGTTCGAGTTCATGCAGCGCGCCCTGCAGGATCTTCGGAAGACGGCCTACAGCCTGGACTCGAGGGTGAGCCTCTCTGGCCAGGAGGGGGCCTGGCCTGGCCGGAGCACTGGCTCAGGGTGCTGCCGCCTGAGGGCGGGGACGGGGACGGGGACGGGGGTGGGGTAGGACCTCCCGCAGCGCCCGCGATCTTCCCGCCCTCATCTGGCACACTGTTTCCGGCCTCAGTGAGGGAGGGTGCCTCTCCTCCCCCAGGCCTCTCGGCCTTATTCCCTGTGAGCCCCACCGGGCACCGCCAGCCTCAGTTCAGCATTCCCTACGCGGGGCAGTGAGACCCAGTGGGGAGGGGCAACTGGGGCAGGGAGTCAGAAAGGGCTTGCTTGGTGGGAGGGTTGGGCAGAGCAGTCTGGTCTGGGAGGCTTCTCACTCCCCAGCCTCCCCTGGGGAGGGACGAGTGTGCACACAGGGTCCCAGGGCACAGGGATCACCCTCCCAAATCTGGAATGAACACAGCCTCCCCACGTTCTCCCATGTCCTCGCTGTCCCTCGGTCTGGCGGGGGGCGGGATAGTTTTCTCTTAGGACAGAGATAGGTACTCCTCTGGGGAAAGGGGAGAGTGTCCAAGAGTGGAAAGAAGGGGAGACCCCACTCTGATCCCCTTTTCTGGGCAGCCCCCCCAGGGTTCCCCAGATTGAAGCCTAGACTGCCCCCCAGGGTCTGAGGATCCACAATCTCCTAGAGTCTGAGGCCAGGCTCCTGAGAGCAGCAGCCCCCAGCCCATCCCGGGCCGGTGCCGGGGGCAGCCTGGGAAGGGGCATGTGCATAGAAGGAGAGCGGGTGAGAAGCAGTCCAGGCGTGGGATCGCGTGCGCACGACCCAGGGCAGGACTGCGGTGCTGGCAGAAACCACAGAGTCGCTTTCCCTCCTGGAAGAGGGGAGTGGGGAGGAGAGGAGGCCCACCCAGTAGCAGAGGGTCTGACAATCAGTGGTGGGGAGGCGGCGTGGCGGGGGGCGGGGTGGCTCTGAGGTCTGGGGAGCTGGTGGAGGGTACCGCCTGTGGGCTTTGGGGGGAAACGGGCAGAGTGCCCACGGGAGCTGGTGGGGGGCAGCAGTCGTACAAGTGCCCTCCCTCACCGCCCCTTGTTGCTTTGCAGACGGAGACCCTCCTGCTGCAGGCCGAGCGCCGGGCCCTGTGTGCCTGCTGGCCTGCCGGGCGCTGAGGATCCTCAGACACCACTGTCCCCTCATCAATAAATGCCCAGCCCAGCACGCCGTGTCCTGTCTCCCTGTTCTGGCCACCACAGCCCACCTGCATCGCCCCCCGCGTCCCTGGGTGGGCTCCTCTGTGGGTCTCGGACCCCCAGCTGTCCCATTTGGGCTGAGGCCCACTGGGCACCTGCTGCACACCAGCGCCAGTGCCAAGCAGATGGGCATGCGTGGCCACACGTGTGGACCTGGACCCACAGGCACCGTGGCCACTGCCAGTCCGCCTTCAGAGACCTGCTTCCTTGCCTGCCTGCCCTTGTTTTGAGGCCAGGGGAGCACAGAAGTTGGCCCGGTCCCCTGGAACAGCTGCCCCGGTGCTGAGCCCCCAAGGGCTCCCCCGCACTGTCCTGGGGATGGCTCTGGTGGGAGCTCCGTGGAGGCCCAGCCCGTGGACCCCCACGGAGCCTAGCCTGCTGTGGCCGCTGGGAGAGGGAGGGCAGCCCCGGAAGGCTCCTCCGGGAAGGGAGGGCCAGGGAGGGCCGGCATGGTCCCCATGGTCTCCACCCAGCCTGCTGGGCCCCTCCCATAGCCTGAGCCCAGCTCCCGCACCAGAGAATTGGAATCCGGATAGGAGTGTTGTGCCTGTGGGTAATGGGCCTGTAGTCACCCACCCATGAATAGTGCCAGGCAGGAGGCCAGGTGTGTTGGCAGCTGTGGTGGGCAGGTGAGTGGGGTTTCTCGTCCGGTCGGCTCCCAGAGAGGGGCTCCCGACTCTCCACCCCCAGCTTGTCCCTGTCAGGGTTCGTGCGCACACTTTCGCTCAGACCCTCGCTCTGGGCCTCTGAGCTCCTCAAGGCGGTGCTCCCACCCTGTGGCCTGTTCCGCCCTCAGTGCTTTTCCGCCTGCAAGTGCCTGGCCTGCAGGTGAGCACGC